TAGGGGGTGGGGGGAGGGGCGGTGGGGGGGGGGGGGGGGGGGAGTGGCATTTGGCACTGTCACCTTCTGAGCCAAAATCCAAAAAGAGAAGAAGGGAACAGCAAGCCTGCAGGTAATTCTACATGATGATGACAAATTTTCTGAAGCTTGACATTTATTTTGGAAAAAAGAGGCAAAGCAGATACTATATTATTTTTTCTCAGGCTAAACCACATTGGCAGTCTTTTCTTTGAATTTCCCTAATACCTACCTCTGATGAACTTAAAACCAAAGTTCCAGGGGACGATGGATAGAGGGGCTTTGAGACCAGCTTTCCTGGGCCTTCACACAGACAGATAGGATGGAGCAGTCCTTCCTACTCTGGGCTTCTGCAAATAGAAATGAGTATTCAGAAAACTGCTGAATGCTCTTGTGATGTGAAAAGAGCCACAGCTTCCCACAGGTGGAGGTGTGATAGACAAGTTACATGATTTTTCCTGCCTTTTAAATCCCCTGTGTGTCCGCCAGGGTGGTCAGAATATTTGTCCTGATAAAAATGAGAAATCTTGAAAGGGTTCCTTGTTCCAGGACTTTTGTCCAAAGTAAGGCACGAACTGTGAGGCAGAGCTGAGAAGTGAACCCCTCTCTCCACACACAAGGGAGTTTTACAGGGAGAGAGGTCAAGTCATGAACTGCCAAAGAGAGACCTCATTTAGCAGTGCAAAGTCCCATGAACTCCACTTTCCCTGTCAAGAAATCACTAGAATCACAAAACTTCCCCAAAATGCCCTGGCAAGGTCTGAGCTGATCCAATAGTTTAGAGCAGCAGAGAAACAACTAGATTGAACTTGCTGATTCATCGAAGTAAGGGCCTGCAGATCTTTAAAAAGCAATGAAATAAGATTAAAACAGCAATAAGCAAAGATAATGAGCAAAGAACACGAACAGTAGGCATCAACAGTAAAATAAGAACCTGTGCACATCAGCTTCCAGCAGTACATTAGGCTTCTTTGGTCATTGCAAATACAATGACTAAGCCTCAGGCTGCGCTAACCTCTACTCAGCCCCTCACAAATTCAGCTCTATCTCAGGGTGGGAAGTTCTTTCACAGAAACCCTTTCAAGTTCTTGATCTCTCTCTTCTCTATCTGCTCCTGCAGGAGAGCTTAGAGTCCCACAGTCTAGCCCTCATTTTGTATTCTTATCGCCTCCTCTCATACCCATTCTTCACAGAATCACAGAATGGTTGAGATTGGAAGGGACCTTAAGAGATCACCTAGCCCAACTCTCCCGCTCTAGCAGGGTCATCTATAGCAGGTTGCACAGGACCCTGTCCAGGCAGGTTTTGAATATCTCCAATGATGGAGACTCGTGGAAGTATGTGGAAGATATTTCAACATCACTGAATTTTTTGAGAGCCCTTGGTAACTCGAATGCTGATTCCAATCTATGAACTCTTTAACCACAATCTTTTCATGAAGCATATTATATTTTTTATATTTTATGAAGATACTATGAACTTCTGAACTTATATTGACCTTTGGAATTGCTTGATACAAGGAATAGCTTTAATGATCAATAAAATCTGACAGAAGTTCAGTCCTAGTTTCATAACACAGGGCAATCTAGCAAATAATTGACTCATAACAAGCAACCACATGATCAAAAGCCTGATGTTAACACGGAGTTCTTCAGTATATAAGCTTTGCAGCCTGATTCACTCATTCCTGAGCCTCAGAAACCCTCCTCCACCTGGCAAATGGAGCTCCTGGGAGCAACAAGTGCTGTCCTCCTGGTTTGCATTGCTTGCCTGCTCTCCTTCATGGCAAGGAGAAAGAGGTCTGGAAAGGGGAAGATGCCTCCTGGACCAGTTCCCCTTCCCATTCTAGGGAACATGTTGCAGGTGAAACCAAAGGACTTGGCCAAAACCCTCCACATGGTAAGGCCACTTTCTTTTGCTCACTCACTTTCTTCTGCAGGCAGGAAACATGTGAGCCCAGCGCACTGGGACAACCAGTGGCCATAGCCTGATCAACACCAACCCCAGAGGGGGAGAAAAGCTCTGGGTATCTCAGCTGCCACCCCATATTGCTGCGACCCTTGTTTTTGAGCACCTGATCACTATGAAAGCTTTCCATGCCCGTATTTCTCATGGGAGAGCCAGATTTCGATGTTCCTGGTCTCTGAGAACACATTGCCTGCAGTGGGATACAACAGCAAGGCCACTTTCTGACTCCTCCTGCCCACCTGCCCCATGGTCATGTTCTCTTTTGTATTTTGACAGCTCGGTGAAAAGTATGGGCCAGTGTTCACAGTGCACCTGGGCTCAGAGCCTGTGGTGGTGCTGTACGGATACGATGTGATGAAAGAAGCCCTGATTGATCGTGCAGACGAGTTCGCTGTCAGAGGACATATGCCGATAGGAGACAGGGCTAACAACGGTTTAGGTATATTTACTAACTGAGTTCCTTTTAAGGAGGAGGGAAGGGCTGAGGACAAGACAGGCAGAGACAGGGGCTGGAATGTACTGTGCCCAAGGGGAGGCTGAGGGAACTGGCTGGGTCTAGGCTGGAGAAGGGAAGGCAGAGCAGGGTGTAATTGCTAGCTTCCACTACTTAAGAAGGGTAACAGAGAAATCGAGCCAGACTCCTTTCAGCCGTGTGCAGTGAAAGGGCAAGGGGCAACAGCCACAGGCTGCAGCAAGGTAAAGTCTGTGTGGTTACAAGGAATGACCTGTTAACAAGGAGGGTGGGTATGTGATGGAAAAGGTCAAAACCAGGAGGTTGAACTACATGGCCTCCAGAGGTCTCCTCCACACCAGAAGTACTCTATGATGCTACTCTGTAGGCACTCTCCTGGAAGATGGGATTCACTATCACTGCCAGCCTCAGTTCATCTCATATCCAGCACACCCAGTCAGACCTTCCCTCTTTCTTCTTCTTCTGCAGGTATTATTTTCAGCAACAACGAGGAGTGGTTACAAGTCCGGCGATTTACTCTCAGCACTCTGCGTAACTTTGGGATGGGGAAGAGGAGCATTGAGGAGAGGATCCAAGAGGAAGCTGAGTTCTTGCTGGAAGAGATCACCAAAACAGAGAGTATGATTTATTCTTAATATATCTTATGTTTGCTAAAAAGGACTTCATTAAGTGAGCATTGCTGGTGCAGTGTCAAATGCAGGAATTAAGGTTACTCATGTTCTTTGCTTGAAAATCAGGTTCCCATGCATCTGGTCCATGTAAGAATGGCCCCTCATTGTAAAGTAACAAATAATTCCATGATTACTTACTACTATTTTTGGAGGACCGTTCTGTGTCACTCAGACTGCGATCTGGTATTTCTGCTAACCCCCAGAACACAGGTTATCCACAGAAGCCATAGGTTTTGCTTTTTTATTCTTTGTAACTTTTGTGAACTCGCAGGAAAAAGGAATGCCATTTGACCCGACTTCCATGCTGAGTTGTGCTGTCTCCAATATCATATGCTCCATTCTCTTTGGGAACCGATATGACTACAAAGACAAGAAGTTCCTGGCCCTGATGGACAACATGAATAGCATCTTTCAGATGGCGAACTCCTACTGGGGACAGGTACATTCAGCAGCCATTTCACGGTGGTGATATACTTCCGGGGGAGCATTTCCCAGTGAAGTCTCATTTCAGTCTTCAAACTAGGACCCAAAAGTGCACACACCTCCTTTGCTCCACAGCGCAGGAAGGAATTCACTCTAGAGCAAGAAGAGCCCTCACTAACTAAGCTGGCTTTGTCAGCTAGGTGCAGCGTACCCCTAGTCCTGACCACCCTTCTTCTCTGCTTTTGAGGTTCCTACTGCTACTATGCAAGCCCCCATCTCTCTGTCTGACTGCCCAGGCCTCACTACCCCTCTGACTGGCTCAGTCAAGAGGATTGTGGCCTTCTGCTAATTCCAAATGATGGGGAAATGGTCACACTGAGGACCTTCCTGTTCTTTCCAGCTCTACCAGATGTTCCCAAAGATCCTGGATTACTTGCCTGGACCTCACAACAAAATATTTGCTGAATTTGATATTCTAAAAGCCTTTGTGTCAGAGGAGGTGAAGAAACACCAAGCTTCCCTAGATCCCAGATCCCCTCAGGATTTCATAGACTGCTTCCTCAACAAAATGCAGGAGGTAAGGAGATGGCATGCAGCCCCATCTGATCCCCAAGCACACCTACACTGACCCTCTTTCCTCTCCCAAGTCACAGAGACATTGCACTGACCCCTTATCTGTGCTGGGCCCTGAAGGCTGGTCTGTGCACTGCGAAAACACTGGCAACATCCCAGATGTCATCTCTGTTAGAGTACAGAGCTCTGGGTCTGGTCACTACCTGCAGCTCCTTGGACAGCAAGCCCCACAAAGCACAGAGACATTTGCAGTCTGGTCTTGCAGTTCTCTGGTTGGAAAGCAGTTGGCACAGTAAGGACAAGTGGGTAGCTAGTTGTTATTTGGTGCACAGCTTGAAAGAAGGCTGTTCTGGGGGTCTAGGTTACTACACAGAGATAGCATTGTAACATTCCAGTTAACTGCTGCACCTCAGTAGAGAAACACAACAGCTCTGGGTGGAAAAGAAGGCCTGGACTGATACAAGAAAGGGCCACATCTCAGTTCAGACAGAGAAGCAGCCCAACCTTTTTCCTAGGAGAAGGAGCGTGCCAATTCCAATTTCCACTTGAAGAACCTAATCACCAGCAGCTTTGACTTGCTCATTGCTGGAACCGAGACAACTAGCACCACCATAAGATATGGACTTCTGCTTCTTCTCAAATACCCAAAAATACAAGGTACCACTCTATGACCTGCTCCTCTCCAGCCACTCCTCTGGGCTGGACTCAGATCTAACACCACTTTCCTCTCTGGACTTTTCTCCTCTCTCTCATTCTCCACCCAAACAGGGAACGTCCCATTCCCCAGGTTGAGCCTTAGAGGATCCCTCAGCTCCCCTGGCATAAATAGCAGCAGCATCCCCTGGAGAGCCTGGGACTTGGCTCCATTCACATCTTTATCTCCCACCACTCCTGTTCAGCTGAGTCACCAGGAGCACACTCTTTGCAATAGACCACAGTGGAGCTGCACTGTGGGCAACACCAAAACCAATACCAGTGCTCCTGGGGGCTGTGATCTTCTAGAAAAGCAGTGGGGATCTGAACAACTTGGGAAAATCTCTTTGGGTAGGTTTGGTTTTATTTGCCCATCTTACAGTCTGTGTCTTTCACGACAGAGAAAGTTCAGGAAGAGATCGACCAGGTGGTAGGACGAGCACGAAGACCCTGTGTGGCTGACCGGACCCAGATGCCCTACACAGATGCTGTGGTCCATGAGATCCAGCGCTTCATCGCCCTCGTTCCCCTGGGTCTTCCTCATGCTGTGACCAAAGACACCCACTTCAGAGAGTATGTCATTCCCAAGGTTAGTTGACGTGCTCCCGCTGATTCCACACGGTGGCAGCACACGCTCCCACTCAGGCTGTCAGTTCTGAGCCTGTGTAAAATGAAAATGCAAGACTCAGGGAACTACTCAGCTTTTAACAGAGGGCTCTGTGTGATCAGTTCTACACGACTTATCCCACCCTGCAGCAGCAGCTGTTCAGGAAGGACCAAGGAAGAGGACCATGGCAGGAGAAATTTGTCGAGAAAGAGGAAGAGCTTCATTTCCACAGCTGTGTGGGCTTCTGCTTTTGGGGGCTAACAGAAAGGAAGGAACATAGTCATCTACAAGTTCATTATGGCGAAACTCTAAGAAAGAGGAAGAATTAGGTGGGGTGGCCCAAAAGGTCAAGAGCAAGGAGAGACGACAGAGGATGAAGGGATGAAACAGAGAGGGAACATTCAGGAAGACCAGTCAGAACAACTGTCCTTGCTGAAAGATCTAGCAGGCCGTCCCTCAATTTGCCCCAGGAGGGGCTTGAAGGGAAACTGAAGGCATTGATAGCAATGTACTGGAAATTTCAGCCTTAATTTGGCAGGCAATCAGATTATGTGACCTAACTCGCCTCCCCTTACGTTCTGCTCTTCTTCTTGTGTTACCTCAGGGAACCACAATCTTTCCCCTTCTCGATTCTGTCCTCTACGACAGTAAAGAGTTTGTAAACCCCAAAGAGTTTAACCCCGGACATTTCTTGAATGAGAACGGCACCTTTAGGAAGAGCAAGTTCTTCATACCATTCTCAGCAGGTAAAGCATGTGCTTCCTCTTCTGCTTCCTCTCCTCCTCCTCTGGGGACCTGCCTGCCTTTCTCCACACAGGCACACTCCTTGCTCTCTCTCAGCTTGGTCCCTCCACAGCTTCTCAGGGCTCAAAGCTCTCTGGATAACTCTCGGCTGCTCCCTTCCTAAGGTGCATCTCCCATCTTATAGAGGGCCCGGTGGCTTCTCAGACCTCCTCCTGTGAGCTCCTGATGTAATGATGTGAATGGGACCCATTCCTACCTAAAAAAAAAAAAAAAACCAAACCTGTCACCTTGCTATATGCAACCTCTCATTATCAATAGCCCCAAAACGCTACTTTCTCACCTGCTCTTTATGTCACCTTGCTCCCTCTCATCCTGCCTCCTACAATGCCTCCACTGTGCTCAAGGCTTCTCCTGCTCAGGTTCTTCCTTCACACATCCAAGCAAACTACCAATCCAGGTCTAGTCTTTCTGCAACAAACTGTTCCTTTGCAAACGTTCACTGTAATCCTCACAGTCACATCACTGCCATGGCTGTATCTGATAAACAACGCTGTGTAACGCATCTGCATAGTACAAACTCCAAACCACTCTGCATCACCTGTTCAGCAATATTTGTTGTTTTACTTCCAGGGAAGCGAGCATGCCCTGGAGAGAGTCTGGCCCGCATGGAGATATTCTTACTCATAGCCACCATCTTGCAGAACTTCACCTTGAGGCCTGTTGTCAATCCTGAGGAAATCAGCTTAACCCCAACATTGAGTGGAACAACAAACATACCTCCTGTTTACCAGCTCTGTGCTCTCCCTCGCTGAAGGATTCAAAACCTCTCTCCACTCATTCCTGAGCTTGGCTATTCCCTTACATCTCCCTTACTAAAAAACAATGGTAGAAACATGGGCACACCTTCCCAAATCACAGAATCACAAAGAATGGTTGAGGTTGGAAGGGACCTCTGGAGATCATCTAGTCCAACCTCCTCCCACTCCAGCAGGGCCATCTAGAGCACATTGTCCAGGATCACATCCAGACGGGTTTTGAATATCTCCAGGGAAGGAGACTCCACTACCTCTCTGGGCAACCTGTTCCAATGCTCTGTCACCCTCACAGTAAAGAAGTTTTTTCTCATGTTCAGAAGGAACTTCCTGTGTTTCAGTTTGTGTCCGTTGCCTCTTGTTTTGTCACTGGGCCTGTCTGAGAAGAGTCTGGCCTCATCCTCTTGACACTCCCCCTTCAGATACTTGTACACGTTGATGAGATCGCCTCTCAGTCTTCCCTTCTCCAGGCTGAACAGGCCCAGCTCTCTCAGCCCTTCCTCACATGACAGATGCTCTAGTCCCCTAATCATCTTAGTAGTCCTAGGCTGGACTTGCTCCAGGAGCTCCATGTCTCTCTTGTACTGGGGAGCCCAGAACTGGACACAGCACTCCAGGGGAGGCCTCACCAGGGCTGAGTAGAGGGGCAGGATCACCTCCCTCGACCTGCTGGCAACACTCTGCCTCATGCACCCCAGGAGACCATTGGCCTTCTTGGCCACAAGGGCACACTGC